AAGAAGTGGTTTTAATAAATCTATATTAAGAACCCACCATGTGCCAGGCACATGACCCAGGTAAATCAATTAAGGGAGAAGGAAAGTAATAGAAAGAAGTAGAAGTCACTGGCATGATTATTCCCAATTTCTAATTTATATCCTTTTACAAAATCCTTACCTCCGTTAGTGCCTCAGGTACTTGGTATTCAAAACTGGAAAAATTAAGCCAGTGTCTTTTGCTTATGAGAATGTGAGATCCTTTCTAGTTGGAAACAGAATCATTCCCTGACCCAAGCAAACAAAGCAATCTACTGCAAAACCTGCTATTCTGAACAGTTCAGAAGTAGTCTCAGCAAATCTCAAAAATACATTCCAGAAGTAACCACGTCATTAGTTGTATGCAAAAGGATACCAAAAATAATTTTACCCTTTATTTTCTTAATTTTTTTTAAGAGAAGGGAAAACATTGCACCCACTTTGTGGCTTGGCTGTGTTTTTAAGAAGCAAAAAGACTTCCTATTCCATCTTCCTGTCTGTGTTCCACCATTTAGTCCAGCCGGCAGTACTTAACTGCCTTCTTTGAGAAAAACGTATGGGTTTCTGAAATAACTGCAGTACTGGCTTTTTTGTTTTTCTGAATTAATTTTGAATGCTATATTACAGTGGCTTTATCATATATATTTCACATATGTATAATATCATATATATGTCACAAAAGGCAGCATGGGGTCTTGAATCCAAAACACCTGGGTAAGTTGTTGGCTTTATACCTCTAAGTGCCTCAGTATCCTCTTCTGGAAATTGGTGAGGATTGGAGTACCTCTATCATAAGGTTGAAGAAGTTAATACATTTTAAGGGCTTAGAACAATAACTAATCCCCAGAAAGTACTCAATAATTTATAATTGACATTATTAGTAGTATTTTTATTTTATATCTTGGGACAATTGATGTTTAAAATTATTTGGATCTTTTTCTTTTTTCTCTTCTTTCCTTAGGGAGATTTATTTTCATAGAATTTTGGAACTGAAAGAAACCTCAGATACAATCTTGAGCATCATTATTTTTTCAGATTGGGACGTTCAAATAGGAAATGACCCCCTGCCACACAGTGTTTAGCAGCCAGTCTGCAGTGTCCACCCATCTCTCGTCTCTTCCTACCCCACGTCACCTTGCATCTTTTCCCCCTTTACCACAGCTCTTCCTGCTGAAATCCTCCCCCTGTGTGTTTCCCTTGGGAATTGGGGAAAGTGCTTCATATGGAGGCAAAAAGCACCATTAACTTCACCCACTTCTTTCCTACCATGAAAAAAAAAAGGACTCCATAGGGGGTTAATAGGGCAAGTGATTTAGCTTAAGATAACTCACTTAGAAGGTTAATGTCTGCTTTGGTTAAATGTTTGAATTAATATTAATCCATGCCTGTGTTAAAAATACAAACTTTCTATAGTTACAAACATTGATTCTCTAAGATGTTAGATTCTGGACTGTCTGGATTGTATTGTCTTATCTTTGTTCATAATCTTAAAATGTAAATCCTACAATTTTAGAGGAAAATTTCCCTAGGATTTTAAGTTCTTAAGAGCCAGACTTATCTGTAAACATCAGTGTGCTCAGAATTTGCCTGCTTTCGTACAGTTCATTTCTGTTTTCCAAACTTCTTTTCATGTCCAAGACCAAAATAGAACAAAAGTTAAAGTTTCTAGAAAAAAATTAAGCACGTGTTTATAGTTTTATAATAGCTGTTTTCAAGTTTGGGTTTTAGCATTTCAAACTCCAGTCAGTTTGCTAAATTACTGCCTCCGGACCAATTCAGCTTAGGGATTCTTCAAGAGTGGGACTGCTGTTAACATTCCCTAAGAACATCTGCTTGTGCACGCGTGCACACGTTTTCTCTCTCTGTCTCCCTTCCTTCCTTCCTTTCTACTTTGGTTGAATAACCTTTATATGTTGATCAATGTATGCTCAGCTTACCAATTATAACCCTTTTCTTTGCATTAACCAATACATTTTAAAACTTTCAGTGTAATTCAGACCTGCAGGCAGCTTGTCTATCATAATTAACAAGTACTGGCAGTGATAAATTGCATACAGCAAAAATCAGTGTAAACAACATGACATTGCACTTAGTTAACATAGTGCTTGCATAGTGTTGTATATTGGACTTCAAATGCTTTCATCTGCATAGAGAACTTACGTAGGAAGAATTTATTCTCCAAAATGAAAGTCACTATTCTGTTCCTTTTATACAGATATACTGCATTTTAGCTATATTGCTATGGGATTTTTTTTTTCTCCAGCCGTGGGCATAATATAGCTTGTGGTCTATTCTTCCAAATTTCTGTCTGGTGGAGAATAAAGGCATACTTTGTTTCAACGGCTGTGGTGGTGGTAGAGAAATACTGTGAAAGCAAGCAAAGCAGAGAGGTTGCATGTTAAAACTTAGTTATGTAGAGAAAAGTCTCATGGTCCCAAAACACATTTCACACAGAACAGAAAGTAAGAATGTTCAATTTATGAACTGTTTGCCAACAGAAAGTCTGTAGTAGATTTCATTAAAATGTAAAATCAGTTTTCCAGACAAGACTTATTTATATCAAAAATAATATTTAAAAACAAATTTACGACTTATAATTCAAAGTAAATAGTACTTAAAGATCTGTACTTAGGTTTCTGTAAGCGTTACAGAAACTTCATTTTCCATACCTTTTGTCAGTAGTCTTCACTGCCTTAACTCCCTTCTGTCAGCTGTCTTCAAATTAATCTCAGTTAAGTATGAGGAAGAAAAATCACATACATGAGGCTCATTTCAGAGATTCTGAATATTTTTATAAAGCTCCAGCAAGTTAACTTGAAATAGCAAATAAAAGGCAACATAGAAATCTCAGAGGTAAAAACTGCTGATGGTGCTAGAAGATAAATACCAGGTTCTCCATCTCATTTTTTGAGATGTGGGAGAATTAAGAAAGGAGAGGCGGGGAAGGGAGGGAGTTGTTGTTACAACAGGATTTGTCGAAACCTGAAAGCTAAAAATGCTTTTGTGTCACTGTGTACAGAGGAGGAATTATTTGGGTGCTCACAAAAAAGCTTTCTTTTCTTTTAATATTATGTTTTAGTCACAGTTATAATTTATTTTTGAATTTTTATCTATGTTGGAAGATATAGTTTATTATTTTATGTCCCCAGCTAAATGAAAGAATATGGTCTGAAATATTTTTAACTGGATTGTGCTTTGCAAGTGATAGTTGAGCCTGTCTTTTTATTCTGGTGCTTGTTGACTCGTCTGAAACTAAGATTCTCAAGATTGTTAACTTTCAAAATAACCATTCAGAAGAAAGTGTTTAAAAATATATTCTTTTCAATAAATGAAAAAAGAAAACCCAGCAACAACTTATGCTTTGAATCTGATCAGTAAACCTGCAAGTGTTTTTTTTGTAGTGCCTTGAATTTTCTTCTGTTATTGCTTCCACTGAGAAAGATTTCTGGAGTATAACTCTATAAATTAGAGACGTCAGAGGATGTTGCGAAGAAATTACACCAAAATAATGTGATAAGAAGTATAAGATAAATAATGTGATGAGATTGTAGAGCATGAATAATGATATAGACATATTTTACCACCATCCTTTTTGGGTTCTCGCTTTTTTTCTTCCTCAGTAATTTTAATTCCACAAGCTATAAGTTCATAGCCATTATACAGAAAAGATAATTTTGTAGCTGGATTTTTAAATTTTACAACTTTTAATAACCAAGTTAGACATTAGTCATTTCTTTAAAGAAATGAATAAAACACATTTCAATTATCTCTGTTTGTCTGGAGTTGTTTTTGTTTGTTTTCATCTTTTCTGAGTTTGGCATTTAGCAAGTGACTGTTTTCCTCTGTTATAAATCTAACAACTGTGGATTTTCTTTTCAGCCATAGTATTATAATTTTGATATTATGATACTTTTATTTTGTATAAACAATTCTATGTATAAATACTGGGTAAAGTAGAGTTGACTGGCAGGTGCTAATAGCAACAGCATTGTTAGCCCTGCTGCAGCAGAAGAAACCCTGCCCCCTTTTGCGTCCTGACCTCTTTTTCCCTTTGCTATGGTGATAGTGCAGACACACCTGTATGAGGCTGATGATGACAGGTAGTGGACCCTGGCCACCAGCATAATGAAGCTCGCTGAAGGGTTAAGCATGCTTTAATGTACATTTCTATTTTCAAGAACATTTTTGATTATTCTTTCTTGATGAAAAGTTATTCTATAAAATATTAAGTGCCTGCTTTAGAAGGGACAACTTCTGAAATGGAAGCAACTTTCATTAACTACAGACCTTTAATCAAGGAAGAATTTCTTATATAAAAAAGGAGCTGGAAAAGAAGACGAGTAAATGGAAATGTAGTTCATCTACATTATTATCTACTGCTGATGTGGACACTGAAGAGAAATCTTTTCAGTCCGGAGACTTCTAGATAAACCTTCAGACCCCTTAGCTTAAACCTCTTGCCT